TTCTGCTTTTCTGTTCCTTCAGCCTTGAGGGTTATCCAGCCCTTTGAACTGATTTTTGACATGCTCTGTGGGAGGTACAGTGCCTTTCTGGGGAGCTTGTGAGATGAAAGGTCTCTTACACTCTTTTTCCAGGTGGGCTGTAATGTTCATGGCTATGTGAGAAGTCAGTGAGAAGTCATCTGGGAATTACTGCAAGTCCTGATGTCCAAGCCAGAAATAAGAGAAGCCAAACTACAATTTATTCCTTAGATGCAGTAGATCTTCAAATGTAATTCTGAGCTCTAAATTCTCCCATAAAGCCAAACAACTGCTAAGGTTAGCACTAATCCAGTTGATTTGGCCCTTTCTGGGGGGGTTCAACACAAGTTTTCAAAAAAAAAACTCAACAAAGCACTGAATTTCAGCTTCCCATTGCCCCACTACAACACAGCTCTCCATAAAACACTGCGCGCTGTTTTCTGGTTTTAATGGTGGGTTGGTACCAGAGTTCTCAGCATACTCAAGATGCTTGTTAGTTCCATTTCTCAAAGTTTCTTCCCCCTGTGAATTCCAGAGCAAGAAATCTCCTGCCTTAATCTTTTCACGTTTGCTCAATATTTCAGTTATTGCAGTGTCTATTTCAGGTTTTCACTATAGGATTGGAACAGAGATATTTGGATAATTCACAGCAATTTCTCACAACAGTTCAATGGGGTTTATACTTCGGATAGTTTTGAAGTTTCGACTTCCCATGGTCGTGTGCTTTAAGGATTTGAGGCTCTATGAACATGTAAGTATTGAAGACAATTTTCTGCAGTTCTCAGTCTGGGATATGCATTAACATATAGGAGAAATCCCTTTTGCAAATAACTAACTTAAAAGGAGATTCCTTTTCCTTTAGCTTTCTGCCAGGCAAAAGGCTTCACTGACTCTATTCTCTGCTGGATTTTCCCTACTGATAGACCAAGACAAACACAAGGGCTCTCTGGACGATCCGAAACAACGGAGATAGTTGCAGTTGCATCAGATCTGAGGGTGACCTGCAAAGCCTTGCTCCTGTGGAGGATGCAGCAGAACAATGCCATCCTTGTTTGCACTCATTTAAATCAGTGCCCAGAGTCTTTCCTTCTCCCCATGCAGCACGTCCCCCGCACAGCCTCACAAATGGCCGTATTCATCAGTGAGCAGCAACTAGTTATAATCCTTCTGAAAGACAACAGGCTGTGTCAGCTTTACCAAGGCTTATTTTAAAGAGTTCATCCTTCCTAGCTCACGCAAGCCCAGGGCTGTGCTGGCTGACTCCTGTGTGTGCGGATGGGTTCAAGGGTTTAAAGGCCAAGCGGAGTGGTTTCCATGGGGTCAGAAGAGACTCCCTGGGTCAGCCAGTTCCGCTGAAGCAGTTAAGTCCCCTGTGGGAGCCTGATGCCTTCCATCCTGGGAGCCATTTGGTTTTGTGCCCACACTCCTCCCACGGACAAGCTGCTGCACAACCTCACTGCTCTGGATGGTGTGAACCTTCTTTGCATTTCCAGCCTCGATTTATTCATGGCCAGTTTGCTTCCATTTGTCCCCATGCCAGCACTGGACATTAGCTTAAATAGCTCTCCTCTTGCTGGATTTATTCTTGTGTTTGTAGGGAGCAAGCAGCCCCTTGCAGCTTTTGTTTTGTGAAGATGAGGCCAAAGCTGCTCCAGTTGTGTTTCAGAAAGACAATCCTCAGTCCTCCCCATTACCCTGCTCTTCTCTTGGGCTAAACTGAATTTACCTGCCTGAGTCTTCCCAGGACTGGATAGGAGGGATCATTGCAGCCTGGCTGAGCCTAGGTTCTGAGCTGCAAAAGTGAAGACTGAGCCAGCCACAGCAGTGAAGTTGTGTAGGGAGGGGAGAGCTCCCAGCGAACTTAGGCTGGAGGAAAAACTGATTGTGGTGGTGATGTGAAAGCACTGCAATGTAAAAAAGGCAACACATCCTTAATTAACTCTTGTCAGCTGACCTTCATGTAGAGAGCAGGGTTGTCCTGTCTTTGCTTGTCTCCCTTCCACATCACATCTTTGTGCATTCTCCATCCTGTCTCATGTCCTTCCCTGTGTCTGTCCTACCTCTCTTTCTGCCACTCTCCTTCCTTGTTTTCTTTCTGGAAAAGACTTTCACAGTCCCATTCAGGACTGTACAGATAAGCTGGTCATAGCTTAGCAAGGTGATTGCTTTCCCAAAAGTCATTCCCAGCAGCCAACAAATGCTCTGAAGGCATCTAAGGAAGAGCCTTAAACAGGTTTAAACTGCTGACTGTGCTTATGAGATGCCAGGGGCTCTGTGTGGGCTCCTGTTTGTCAGTGAATTCCTCCCCACTATCACAAAATCCAGATGTCCCCAGAATATTCCCTGAAACTGTGGCTTAAACCGAAGTTATGACTGAAAATGGCAAGCGAAGGCCACCACTTCTAGCACACAGATGTACAAGAACAAGATCGGTTTCTGAAATTCAGACTCCTAATTCAATCTCATCCCTATCAGACTCAACAAGTCAAATCAGCTACTTCCAAATTCTTCCTCTCTCCCAGCCTTGCATCCCTTCTCATGAAGTCCAGCAAAAAACAGCTCCCAGAAGAGGCGGTTTCTGTGGCAACTCTAAAAGTCACCCTTTGGATAATCCTAGAACTACATATCTTCTTCCCATTGAAAGGACTGAGCACTTTAAGCAAAAATAACAATCATAAATTGCTGTATGTTGCAGTAGTCCCTGTTGCTGCCTGGGAGATGCATTTGTCACCTAGCAACGACATAAGGTGATGAGGAAATAACAGATTTTTAATCTAATGGCCAGGAGTTAACATCTATCAGAGAGCAGCCTCCCATGTCCACTGATGAGGTGGATATAACTGATTGAGGAGGCAAGGGATACCTAGCTTTGCATCAGTGGATGGATGAAGAGGTGGGAGCACGGGTTACCTTCTTGCAGGTACATACATACGTGTGCACATATCTCTTCGTGGGGAGAATGACAGTAAGCCTAGACTGGAGATTACCATTGGACATGCAGCTACCCAGAAGATGATTCTCTTAATATTACAGAACCCCAAAAGCAGCAGTGTCACAGTGGGCAAGGAGGGTTGCAGCCTTCCATGAGTTTCAATGCAGAGCTCCTCTGAGCCTTCAGTGTCAGGTTCTGGCTGCCTTAGAGCAAGTTCTGGGGCTCTTTATGACATTCATGTATTCAAGCTGCTCTGCAGATCACGAACCAGGAGAGTTTTCTTGCTGAAGCAGCAGCTCTCTTCAGTATCAGGATCATGCCCAAAGCAAAAGACAGGGCAGTTTGTGGGCATCTTTTAGTCCACTCTCTCTCCTCTCAACATCATTACAGAGAATACAAGAACTGGCTCCACAAATTGCCACCACCACTTGAAACCTCTGTATGGGACCAATGGGCAGAAAACTTCAAAGTTTGCTTCAAGGCCAGGCAAACAGCAGTGGCAGAATTCAATTTTCCCCCTTTTCTTCTAGAAACAGATCAAGACTAGAAACCATGTGGTATTTTTCAGTACCAGGATCTCATTGTGGTACCTGCTCCCTGAAAGGCTGGGGATGATTCATCCAGTAGCTCTAAATTGCATGTACCCTGGGTGCTGGCATGAGGGAAGTAATTGTGAAAAGAAGAAATCTGAAATGAGTTCAACGATAGATGATGTCTTGGAAGCCTGAAATTGTAAGAGTCACAAGGTTCCCAGCAAGGCTGTGTACATTTCTATACTTCAGGAGCTTCTTCTTTTAAGAAAACAGCTAAGAAATTGTTTTGGCAATCTACTGTTGAGCAAAATTGAAAAGGATTGGTCTGAACCAGGACAAACAATGTGTTCAGACCACTTATATTATGTAACACATGCACTTAGCACCATTATGAGAGATATTTTCTCAGAGGGAATCATTTCAGAGGCTTGCCTTTAATTGGTAATGAGCTGAAAGTAAACATTTGAGAACACCAGGGTTTGGACTGGGTTTATGCAAAACTTTAACAATAAATAACAAACCTGGATTGAATATGTGTATCAGAGTTGGTTAGACTTCTTGACCTTTTAGTTGAAGCACAGCTGCAGAGGAATATCTTGAGAGCAGCTTAACTTTGTCAATCATTACTGAAGTAATGGCATTGCAACGTAATGCTTAACTTCTGGAGTGACAGCTAAACATATTCACAGCAACACCCTTTGTGTTAAATCTGGAAGAACCATAGTTAATTGTGCATTTCAGCCACAGGCTGTAAACTTCAGTGACAGTCTACTACTGACAGCCAAACAAACCACGGTCATCCATTCTGCAGTGATCAGAGCTACGGAGCAAAGCATCTTCCACCCCTGTTTTACTGCGTCATCTGTATGTATCTATTAGGATCAAACTGGTTCTTATATTGTGCAATGAAATTTTGTATCCCTTATGAGAACCACTGGGAATGTGTGTTTTTTCGGATGCGTTTTCCTAGCAAACCAACCCCTGGCAGCTGCATAACAGCAGCAGAGGTGCTGGTGGTGGTTGTCTCAGGCTGGGAAGAGTTTCCTTCATTCTTGGTGCACATTTGAGGTGGTAGGCACAGTGCAAAGGAGATGGTTGGAGGTAGCTCTGCTTTTTCTATAATACCAGAATTGCAGCTGAAGGCAGCATGTAATAAAAGCGTGGCCTTGCAATAGTCTCCAGTGATTTTGTAGCAGGTCCTGTTAAATACAGCCGTGGGTTAATATGGAACTAAGCTTCAGCAACAGGAATCTGTGAACAGCTATGAAAATACCAAAATAACTACAAGGTGCTGACCTTAAACTAGTGTTCCTTTAACTTCTAGCAGCTGTTTGTGTGTGTCCATGCAAACCCAAATTCATTCCCTGGCTAGCGGTATTTTCTGAAGCATGGGAAGCCATTGGGTAATGTGGTTTTTGGCTGAAGGCATAACATGCAAAGAAGTTTTAAAAACTCCGAATTACAGAGGGTAAAACACCACTGCAAATAAAGCTCTTCCCACGTTTCTCCTGCTAGTGATGCAGAGACCTGGAGCTTTGTGTCTCACTTCATGGATCACAGGAACTGGAGCTCTGTATTTAAGCTTCTTGCAGGTAACCAAACCCTTCACTGGGACCACACTGATTTTAGGGATTTTGGGGTGGGGGAAAGACTTCAACTTTTATATAATTTAGTCATCAGCTCTTTTTATTTTTTGGGGAAGAATTCCTTGAGGACCTGACAGATTTGGAGAGGATTTAAAGCTCATAACAGTTCCAGTTAATGCAGAGAAAACATGACTGCCTTAATCCTTTATTCTGTCTATGGCTACTGAAATGGAAGAGCATGGGCCTTCAGCAGCATGGGTGGGTGGGTGGCTGCATTGATAGATTACTACCTCAGAGCACATGTACTTTGCTGCAATTTAACTACGCTAAGGTAGCTTTGCTGAGGTAGTTTGAAGGATGATAAAGGAGAGTCCAGAGGTTGTCATTCAGCCATAAAGAATACTCAGGGTACACGTAATCACAGCAATCAGCTGTCTGGTTTTGACCTGTTATTCCAATAATCAGCTGAAGTGTAAAAATAAAATTAAAGTATTCTGCACCAGGGTATATATATGACATGGCAAATTAACTCAGTTTTAAAAAGGACATGTCTGGAAGAGTTGAAGCTTCTGTCTTTTTCTGTATTCCCCATTTGGGCTTCAACTGCTCATGAAATTTCATAGATAATGTTTTATATGAAAGACTTGTTATACCTAAAGGCCTCTGGTGAAACTAGGGACAAAAAGGCAGTGTCTGCAGAGGATCAAGCACATTATAGACATTTGTGAGGTGATTTCTTGCTGCTTACAGTGATACAAGCTTTGGAAAACAAAATCCTTACTAAGAAGTCCTGTTGATTAGACATGTAATATGATATCTTTCAATTATATGTATTTGATAAAAACTTCTAATACAGAACAGAGCTTTCCAGTTTGGCTCAAAAAAAAGTTAGAAATCTCTACACGTTTTGGATATATGTGGAAGCAAATCCAAAGTAAAGTAATGATTTACAAATTACATTCTAAAGTTTTCTCCAAGAAATAAAGTTAAAATTTTCTGTCTTGCTCATTCTGCTTGCCACTGTTATTGCAATTCTATATCTATCTGAGCTGAAATTTTTTGTAGCAAAGTTGGGCAAGTGTTATAACACAAATAATGTGAGTCAGCCAAAAATTGCATTGAATTTGATTGAATCACACTGATGGACCACTCCGGTTACTTCTTCCCCAGATAACCTGAAACTGAGGCAAAGATCAAGAAGGCTTGCAAAAATAAGCTTGCTTGACTGGAGAGTAGAAAATATACCTGAAAAACAAGTTTCAAGTTCACATATTTGCAATACCTGAAACCTGACTCTGGGAATGATGCATCACTATTATCTGAAAAAAGGAAAATGCTGGGTAGAGCACAAGTCTGGTCAAAACAGCTCCGGTTTACAGCTACATGCACAATTAGCTACTGGAAGATGAGCCACAAGCCAAGAATTTGGTGGCAGGACATTTTGAACAGACTTTTCTGAATAACGATGCCCAGTTCTGTAAACAGGTCTCAGACACCTGCTCGTGTGTCCCTGCTCTTGTCCTTCCCTCTTTCATATCAAAAGAAATGCTTTCCCCTCGGCCTAGCTTTCATCTGCAAATTATTGAATTTATCAAGCTCTCTATGAGGTTCTCCACTGCATTTGATGCAGGCTAGATCAAGCCAGAGATGTGCAGAAGCACCTTTTTGGCTCTTCATCTCTAACTTCCCACTCTTAGATCAGTAATTATACTGTTTAATTGTAAAGAACCTGACACATATCTGCCCTCTCTGATTTACATGTGTGTTTTCAGATAGCAGGCTCTGCGTCAGACTGTGAGCTTGGCGAGAGGTGAGTGTGGCTCTCTGTTTTCTCACCCACAGCTGTTCCCAACTCTTTCGGGGATGCTGTGCTCCTGCCTGGCACACTGGCACAGCAGAGGAATGAGGGCTTCCAGGAAAGGGCCATTTAGCTTGTCTTCTAAAAGAGGAAAAGGGGGCTGGCACCCCTTTGGGTTTCATCAAAGATGCTGGTGGTGGGTGCCAGTGTTGAAAGGCAAGCCAGTTTCAGGCTGCTGTCTGCATCATCTACATCTGCTTCCATCTACATGAAGAAATTTTTGATAGGGTTCCCTTGGTGGAGGAAAACTTCTCAACCCTCTACTTACTAGTGATTCTTTTCTTTGTTGTTGGTAGGCATGCATTAGAGCTGTTACAGTCCCTTCACACTGGACTGACAGTTCCTTTCATTTTTTCCCTTGTTAGGTGCATCAGGCAAAGCGATGAAAACTTTAGCAGCTGGTATGTGTGGTAAGTTTCAGATCTGTTCTAGGAGGGAAAACTAGCAAATAATATTCTTTGATGGATATAGAAACAGAAAGGCATTAAGAGAGACTGATAGCTAGAGAGCATTGCTCCTGGGCTGTCCCTGTGTTCTGTCTTTACTGACTAATGGGAATCATTTATCCATATCCTCCTCACTGTACGCTGACAACTGAGCTGCACAAAACGGATGAACGAGTTTAGGGGGAAATGTTTGAATTTCCAGCCAGCACTCAGCGCTGAGCACTCAGCGCTGAGACACTAGTTTCCGGGGACTTCGATCATGTCCAGTACACTGGTGGCGAAACTGCAACATTTAACAGCTATTTGCAAAAGAAGTTAATGAATATGTTAATTTGAAGACATGCAGCCATCTGTCAGTGCTGCTTGCAGATGGTGATGGTACTGTTCCTCCCCTGCTGCCTCTGCCTCAGGTTCCTGATGTTGTTTTTCCTGGCCTTGCTCCTGTCCTGTGGGATCTGCTGCTGCCTGCAGTGCTGGCTGAAACGGAGGAGCTGCCTCCCCCACCGACGCACCCTGGCTGTCTTTGCACTCAGCAGTTCAGATGCCTTTTGCGGTTAGTCCTGTCCCTATCTGCTGCAAAGTCCCACACTGGCCCTGGTGGGTTTCCCCTTGGCCCATCCGTAACCCAGTGAGAGGAAGCCGGGCTTGAGCAGGAGCTGGGCTGTCACTGGGTGCTGTGTTTCTGGTGAGCAGTGGGGTGCCCAGCCCAGGCATCATGGGGGGATGTTTGAACCATGCACTGGAGGGCTTAAGCCAGCCACATCCACTTTGCCCCAGCTGTACCTTAGCTGAACTCAGTGCTGTCCCTGTGTGTCCCGAAGGTGCTAGTCAGGGCTTGGCCACACTAACTCCTGAAGTGTGTGTGACCTTCTACTCAGTGTTAGGGTGTTTAACAGCCAAAACATACACAGCCACAGGCACTGCCTGGGGGCAGACAGCCCTTTCCAACGCGTGACCTCCATTTCTCATTCAGGAGAGACTGCACCAGCCTACTTGAGGCACCAGCAGCACCCCGAGGTCTGTCAGAAAGTTGTGTTGGTGAGCACCGTTCATTGTGGTAGGCACCCTCAGCATTCCCCCAGGAAAACCCAGGCTTTTGAAGACTAAGCTATAATGACTATGTGTAGCACCCAGCACTGACCTGGAATATTGCCATTATCATCAGCAGGCTGGGCCAGACAATAGTCCCTCCAAGAAGAACAAAGCTAATCCTGTCATTAGACTAAGCGTTTCCCGGAGAAGGTATTGCGTGCTTTCTGGGTGGTCATGAACAGCGTCTCTACAGGGAAGACCCACCCCAAACCCACCCAAATTCCTGTGTTCTCACTTCTTGTATCTGGAGCTTGCGGTGAGAAGCTTTGTGATGCCATGCTTAAAAAATTACATCCATGCCTTTCTTGTATCCAAGTGGTTGGGCAGCTCCTCCCAGGCTCACCCCTCTCACTCCACACTTGCTCTTCATGCCTGTCGTTGTATGGTTATGGCTGTGCTTTTTCCCCAGCGAGTGAAGCACCTGAGTGCCCATTCTCTGGATCTCCCTGCACGACTGCGGAGATGTCCTCTTCTTCTGCCTCACAGTTCAGCCTTGGGGAAACTGAGTTGCCTCCATCCTATGAGGATATCATGAAGGAAAACAAGCTCTAGATGACACGTTTGCTTTCTGTGATTCCACTTTTTTCATCAGAGATCTTCCATTATGCTACAGTAGTGTGAGATCAAATCAGAGCTTTCCACAGACTGGCCACGAGACTGAAAGGCAGTGCATACTTCTTCTAAACCTAAAATGGGAGACTAAATGCAACAGAATAAATGCCAAAAGCATATGTTGAATTTGTCACAGGAGCTCAATCTGACATTGTGATTAGGCTTTGGGTTTCAAGAAGCTCCCTCAGAGGTTCGTCTGTACTCAGGGTTTCTGTCTCAGCCTGCAGATTTATCTCTGTAAGGCTGCTTGAGCTGGCGCAAACCTGTGTAGTTTAGGACCGAATGTTGATAAATGACTTGATAGTTACTTCTCAAACTTGGGCTGCCTCCTTCATTCGGCACAGTGCCAACAAACACCCTCTGGCAAAGTCATGTTGTTCTAATACATTGTAATGAAATCGTGCCACTCTGCGATGAAGGATCGTTTGCCACATTTAAAATATTTAGCACAACGTATCAGATTTGCCTGGTGTGAAAAGCAGCAAATTTATAGCTGAGGAAGGGAAAGCAAAGGATGGGAATTACGGGGGGGAGTAGCAGCAGCAGGAGGTGGTTACACAGAACACAAAAAAAAAGAAGTGAGTTTGCTCATTTGAGCTGTTTGTAATTTCATAGTGACTGTCCCCAGCTACTCTTGCCCCAGCACTGCAGACCTGCAGGCTTTAAATTGCCTGGGACCCACATTGCACTTCCCCACAGACATGAATTATGGAGTTAGGAATTTGGTGCTTAGCTACAGAAATTTACTGGGATAAAGAATGTAATTTTCTTTGACATGACCGCTGCAGACTGGATGGAAAGAGATTTCAGGAAGCCATCCAGACTGACTTATACCCAAGAAGGATCAGCACTGCATAAGCCATTCCTAGGAGGTACTAGCCTGCCTCGTTCTCAAATTACTGAGGAAAGATGTTGAATTTCCCCCTGAGCTGGATTCCAGATGAAAGCAAACATTTCCTTTGTTTGTCATGGGCAGGTCACTGAAGGCTGGATTCAGCCTGCCTGACCTCTCTATCTCTGATCTGATCTCTCAGTGGAAAGGGCTGGGGGCTGCAGTCAGATCCCTCTTGGTACAGAAGGTAAATGTCACACCCGGTACCGTGTACCGCGTACCACATGCCTGTGGAGCCGTGGCCTCAGAGTCAAAGTGGACAGCTGGGCCTATCTTAGGTACTGCAGATGAACGGAAGCCCACAGCCTGCCTTGTGCAGCAGCTTCCCACCTGTAGAGTGTGGTTAGTACCAGTTTCCCTGCTCAGGAAGGAAACTGGGAAGATAAATCCACTAAAGGTTATGAAGTGCTCACATATTTTCATAATGAGGCTATATAAGTACCTTCACTAGATAAGGAATTGCAGCGTATTTTGAGAGACAAATTCTCTGCCAGCACCACCGCAAATTATCTCCATAAAATCTTATTTTAGAAACAGCTTTAATGTTTGACTGTTGTGTGAAAGGAAGTAAATGTTACTGTAGCAAAATGAATGTTTGTGCCAGCAGGCTAAAATATTACAGGGTTTATTAATAAGGAAAATTAGCAAGTACAGACTCAGCCAGCAGAGAAGTCGAGCAATTCTTGAGTGTCCTTTCACTGGCTGAGCTTAGTAAGAATTGCAGGTAATCAGCACCTCTCAGGATCAGACCTTTTATATACATAAGTGCTTCCACTACTCAACCCCTTCAATTTATGCCCTGAAGCATGAGATTTGATTATGTTTTTCACTTCAGCCTGCGTAGCATGCTAGTTGGCATTAAATCAGCCATCACTTCCTTCCCTCCTATACACTGCATTTGCTTCAGTGACCCCTTGGTGGAAGTTAACTCCACAGGTTGTCTGCATTATATGATGCATAAAACATTACCGTCTCCCCCTTATTAATTGCTTGGTTCTAAATAAATTGCTGCCTGTAATTTCATTGAATGTCACCTTCTAATCAGACGGCTGGAGAGGCTAACAAGCAACGACTCCTCTGATTTTAACGCCTCCATCAGTCTGCATCCCTCCTTTACAAGCTCCAGGAAGCGGCGTTCATTACGAGGCAATAAATCCTTGCCCAGCAGAGGGCAAGCGAGGCTTTCAGCGACGCACCCAGGAGGCTGCGGCTCTTGCACAGACATTCGTGGGAACGGGTTCGTATTTCCCTGCTACAAGTGTTCATTCACGTGCATTCAGCTTCATGGTTTGGGTGCTTTAATTATTCACAAAAGGAACAAAATTATTCCATCAAAACGGTATCAAGTGGCTCATAGTAAAGCAAGCTAGCAGGTGTCACAAAATTAGGCTCCAGCCAGCAGCAGCAGCATGGAAGAACCCGTGGTATTTGCGCAACATGACAGGAGCCATGGGTGCTTCCAAAAACTGCTGAAGACCCAAAGTTTGTGTAGGGTTGCTTGGGGGGACAACCTGACCTTGTTGCTGGCTTGGGGTGGGGAAGGAGGGTACCCTGAGAGGGGGCTCAGTGGGCACTGCCCTGGACCTTAGCTTCCTGATCACTGAAATGGGCAAAAGGATGGGTTCCTTCCTTCATTCTATAAAAGTATTTGGGATGACCTCGCTAATCTGCTCTTGCCTGTGAAAGCCTGCCTCCTTGCTCCCAGGTGCTCCAGCAGAATGGATCAGGATACCCAGACCTGTGTTCCCATTCTTACAAAAGCAGAGATTTTGCCTGATGTCTTATGTTTTTCTAAGCACTCAGCCCTTAATGACGGATGTTAATGCAGTTTTGCTGATGTTTCCTGAGTTATAAGTAAAGATGAACCATTTCTTTATAATTCATCAATTTAGGAATAGGGTGCACTTTGGTAAAGCACTTGTTCTGCTGTGACCTCCTGGCTGCCACTCATCC